GAGGTGTCGTGACCTTTTATTCTGATTTCGGGAACCTTGGTCATCGGTTCCCGCCTGTTGAGGATCGGCAGATTTTGGCTAGAGGAAGAGCTTTGCGTTTACAGCTTACGTTTGGGGAGAATGTCCAGGTCATACACTATAACATTCACAACTTCGGGTTATCGATTCAGACTCGGGATGAAATCATCAGGTCCATTCTTGCCGACCAGCAGGCTGCAGCTACTCGACCAGGCGAGTGCCTAGTCATCATGCATGGCGATTTCAACCTAGCCAGCGAACCTCCAGCCGTGCTTCGCGCTGAAGGCCCGTCTGCTGGGGGCGCTCAGATTAGGCAAGAGGTTGAGCGTGACCAACAGTGGATGAGGGAGAGGAGCACGGGGTGGGCGAGAGTATTTTCTGCCATGGAGGGCTACACGCATTTCTGTGCTGCGCAGTGTGCGCTTTCGAAGATAGACCGTGCCTTTGTCAGTTTACCTGGGTGGGCTATAGTGCAGGCGGCAGTCTCGAGTCAGGTCCGCGGCCTCCCCGAAGTCTTGCATCGAAAAGCGATTTCTGATCACGCTGCGCATATCCTGACCATATGTCCCCGTGAACCATTGGACCCAGAGGACCGCCCGATCCACCCTGAAGTATTTGAGCGTCCTGAATACCAGGCATTTATCTCGCAGGTTGTGCGGCAGGTCGACTGCGCCGAGATGGCGCAGCCAGCGATTCTCGCCTTTCACAAGTCCGTGATGAAAGAAGCTGCCAGGGTTGCCAGGGGCACCATTGTCTTCCGTAAACCTCAAAGTCTTTGAGCCCAGCTGTTTGTATCCCGGTCTATTGGGAGGGCGGTGTGGAAGCAGGGCCGTGGGCTTGCCGAAAAACTCAAGCGTTCACATCCTCTGGCTAGGCGTTTCATTCGAGTGCAGCCTCTTTCTGGTGCCGTCGAGATCACAGATCCCGATACTTTCACGATCTTTACTAATGAGCTGAACTTCAGGCTCAACCAAGCTGCTGTTCAGCGTGCCCGTCTGCAAGCAGGAGAGTCGTCCCTAGCAAAGGTGCAAGCAATAATGAGACGTAAACTTAGAGGCCTCGAACGGCGAGGACGACTCCGGCTTCCTTCCGGGAGACAACTTTGTTTGCGAGGCATACATCTCCCAGGGGGTGGGATCACATCTGATCCGCAAGAGTGTCTGGACCAGCTTGCGCACCATTGGGGGGAAGTCTTTAGTTAGAAGCCCATCGAGCAGCCCCAGGCCACGATGTATATCGAGCGTTTCGGGATCCAGCATGACTTTACCAACATCAAGCCTCCAGATCTTGAGCAAATCCAGAGGGCCCTCCGCAGGCTTCCCAAGAGTGCTCCTGGCCCAGATGGGCTTCCGTGCGCTGCCTGGGCCCATCATCCCTCTGGAGCGCCTGTTCTAGCTGATGCACTTGCCTGGATCCCGCAGGGGAACTCGATGCCGTTCGACTTTAACAATGTCCGAGGAGTCTTTATCGCCAAGGGTGAGGCCCCAGAAGATGCCACTTCCGTCGCCCGTGCCCCTGCCAATGCGCGTCCTCCGGATCTGAAAAACGCCGACTGCAAAATCATCACGAATGTTGCGGTCAGGAGCCTCACCCTGGCAGCCGCAGATGCTGTCGACCCAATTCAACGTGGTTTCGTGGTGGGGCGCAACTTCGGCCTGAACATCTTAGAGCTTGACGTGGAAGCCAGAGCCGCGGGATTGAACGAAAACGCCATGAGCCGCCTCCCTCTTCTTGCCTCCTTTGACTACTCCCAAGCGTTTCCCTCTATAGCTCATGAATGGTTGGCATTGGTCCTAGGAGCTCTTAAGATCCCAGATCCCCTCAGGCACCTCCTTGCTGTTATTTGCCAGCATGTCTGCTGTTTCGGTATGTTAGGAACTACTTCCCAGGTCCTGTTTTATATTCTTGCGGGGATCATTCAGGGCTGCCCGGCCTCGGGGGTAATTTATAGTCTTGCGCCGCATCCCTTTATGGCCCACTTTCGGTCCCTCATGATCACCCCGCGTAAAGGGATTGTCAGAGCCTGTGCGGGCGATGTTGGTGCGGTGATCTACTCGATTCAATCCCTTCGGCGGCTCCACAAAGTCTTTCAAGCTTCTGCTCGTGTGGCAGGCCTTCTCTTGAAGCCGCCTAAATGCTTTCTGGCGCCGTTGTCTGGCCCTTGCGCTCCTGAGTTGCGCGAGCAGATTTTGTCTTGGATTCGGGGAAACATCCCGGCCTAGTCTGAGTTTCGGGTCGAGGGTTCCCTTGTTTATCTTGGGCTCAAGCTTGGGCCTCCGGTTCTGGGCGACTCCTGGACTGGCCCGTTGCTGAAATATCAGATGAGGACGGCCCCTCTGGCGGAAGCACGTGCGCCGCCGTCGGTCACCGCCTTGTCATATAGTCGCCGCGCGCTCACCACTCTTTCGTATGTCAGTCAATTTAACATGTTGCCTCAATGGCATCGCAGGCGTGATCGCGCTAATCTTGCCTCCATCTATGCTGTGCCCCACTGCTGTCTTAGCTTTGCTGGTTTCCTTGCCCTGGAAAAGTGGGGAGGACCAAAATTCAGGAGCGCGGAGATCGTGAACCGCGCCTCACTCATTCGCTGTGCCTTGGTGACGTTTCCTGAATGGCGGCCGCTCCTTGACCGCTTGCAAGCCCTGGCAGAGGAGTGTCTCCCTGCAGTGCAGGTTGTGGAGGGACAGCTCTCGCCCGCTTTCTGGCAGGCACCACCGCTTGTCAGTCTTCTCTGCGAGGCCGCTTCTGGCTTCGAGTGCTCCCAGAAGTGGAGACGTGCGGGTCGTCTGGCGGTGGCCGAAGCGACTCGAGCCATCGCTAAGGGGGACCGAAAGGTGCAAAGGCGTGCAGGCAGAGTCCTGCAGGAGGTGATGTACCCAGACCATCTTGAGCAGCTCTTTCAGAAACGACTACTGGCTTACTTCCCCGAGGCTCGGCAGCAAATTTTAAAGATCCCCTGGGGCCAAGTGCAGAGCACGTTGCTTAAGCTCCCGAAGAGTTGGACCAATGCCATAATTAAAACCCTTTGTGGGGGGTGGACTACTGTTACCCGTCTGCATGAACCCTCATCTGGTGTAGGACATAATTACTGTTGTTTAGGTTGTCAAGCTAGAGATACTGTAGCTCACTACTTACAGTGTAAGCGATTCCGGGACCTGATTGCCTCGGTCCTCGGTCGTCTGATCCCGTCGTGTCCTATCGCCTTCCTCGGTCTCGACCCTCCCAGTCCTGAATCGCTTGTTATAGTTGTGGCTGCGTTCCATCTGTATAATCATATCAGTAGATTGCCCCACGGACTCAATCAAGGTATCGATCCGTCTGTCGTACAGGCGGTGTTGCCACAGGTGCGCGCCGAGGTTTGGCGTGTGGCAAGTGGTTCGACGTGATGCAGGACTCAGGCCGCCTCAGCTACGTGCCAGGAGGAGGAGGAGGAGGAGGAGGAGGAGGAGGAGGAGGAGGAGGAGGAGGAGGAGGAGGGAAAGGAGGAGGCGGACGACGGGGAGGGGGAGGGGGAGGGAAAGGGAAAGGGAGGGGAGGGGGAGGAGGAGGAGGAGGAGGAGGAGGAGGAGGAGGAGGAGGAGGAGGAGGAGGAGGAGGAGGAGGAGGAGGAGGAGGAGGAGGAGGAGGAGGAGGAGGAGGAGGAGGAGGAGGAGGAGGAGGAGGAAGAGGCGGAGGAGGAGCAGGAGGATGATAAGGAGGTGGCGCTGGAGGGTAGATGATGACGATGAGGAGGCTGCCAGGAGCTCTTCGGAAAACGCCTTCTTGAAAGCGGGGCGCCCTGTAGACGCGTCATTCCGGCGAGAGCATGGGGTTGAAAAAAGGAGCCAGTTCCATGCTTTCAAGGATCAAACGTTTCGAGGTGCAGGGCCGCCGATTCCAAGAACACACCACACCAACACCCCATTTGGGAAAAGGGGGCGCTCTCCACCCGTTTAGCGCTCACAGTTGTTACAGACGATTGCTCGCTGAGTTAGGACGAGAGCCTCATTTATAACATGGCCAGTCCTCCATCCGTGCAGATGATACCTAATTTAAGGCGAGTGCTCATGGTGATGGCGCAAGGGCTACACCTTGGAGTTCACTAGCCCTTCATCCGTGAAGCGGCTGCAGACTTTCAAGGCGATAGTGTCCAGCTCGAAGGCCACGTGCCCAAGACAACGGGCCACCTATCCGTCGGACCGTTCGATGTTCCGTCACTATTTGTTATAAATTATGCGACGGTCGCAGGCAACATGTTTGGTAAGCCCTGCCGACACGCGCGGTGGTGCGACGAACGATAGTTATCTACGTATAAGGAAAAGGGCTGGAGGAGCAGGGCGAGGGATCACATCAAGACGTGGAGGACGAGAGGGAGGAGGAAGAAACAGGTGGATGCGGAGAAGTGTGTCATTACGGTTAACGTTCGATCATCACTGATCAATTTTTCCGAATTGATTCAGTCTTGTAAGAGGCCACATCAAGATGTCGCATGTGTTGATCCATGTGGTAACTCAAGTTGACCACCACGCGCATCGCAAAGGTGGTGCGCGTCTGTAACGAACACAATGCAGTGGGCAGGACAGGAGGAGTGCTAGTGGCAAGTGCATAATGCAGCGGTGCGATCAACGCTGGCTTGTAAGTTTTGAGCTCGACTGTGCGAGGAAGTGGGATTTTCTCTGGGCACAACGTAGGACGTCGGACGAGGTGCTGACGCGGAGGCAGACGAGGAGGATGAGGGGGAGGAAGAGGAGGGGGAAAAGGACGACGTAGAGCATGAAGAGAAAGACGATGTGGAGGAACATGGAGGAGGACCATGGAGGAGGAGGAGGAGGAGGAGGAGGAGGAGGAGGAGGAGGAGGAGGAGGAGGAGGAGGAGGAGGAGGAGGAGGAGGAGAAGGAGGGGAGGAGGAACATGAGGAGGAGGAGGAGGAGGAGGAGGAGGAGGAGGAGGAGGAGGAGGAGGAGGAGGAGAAGCCTCGTGCGCAGCGCCCCGCGCCGCGTAGGAGCGGCGAATGCTCACTGGACCTCGCAGTGGGCCGCGGGGCACGGGGCAGGTCTAGCGCGAGTGCCGTGATGCCGCCTCGCTCCGTGTTCATTGGGGACCTCCGAAAACGGAAATCTTTCAAGGTTGACGGGTTCACGCCGTGTCTGAAACCAGAGCCGACGTCGTCATGGAAGGAACCCTGCTGTGCCTTGATCCTCGCCTGGGCAATTTCGGGCCAAGGATCGGTGTGTATGAACTTTGGGCCCAGCCTGAGGGCGCAGACGCCGTTCCTGGGTCGGGGGTAGGATGGACATGGCCAAACGCACCCAAGCAAGGCTCCTTCGCTTTCCCCCACCGTCGCCGCCACGTAGCGGGCGCAGTTGGCGAAAAGGAGCCAGCCTCTTTTCTTCTCCCTACTCCCTCCTCCTCTCCTGCCTCCTTTTTTTTTCTCCTCCTCTTCCTCCTCCTCCTCCTCCTCCTCCTTTTTTATTTGTCCCAAATCGTGCTTTCACTTCGGAGATCTGATTTGTTTTCTGAGGAAGTGGGCTCGTTTGTCGGGTCCGCCGCCTTGTTGCCGCCGTCGCCGCCCCGTCGCAGCGTCGTCGCTGCCCGACGTCGCGGCTCGTTCGTCGGATCCGCCGCCTTGTTGCCGCCGCCATCCCGTCGCCGCCTCGTCGCCGCCCGTCATCCGGGCTTGTTTGTCGGGTCCGCCGCCTTGTTGCCGCCGTCGCCGCCCCGTCGCAGCGTCGTCGCTGCCCGACGTCGCGGCTCGTTCGTCGGATCCGCCGCCTTGTTGCCGCCGCCATCCCGTCGCCGCCTCGTCGCCGCCCGTCATCTGGGCTTGTTTGTCGGGTCCGCCGCCTTGTTGCCGCCGTCGCCGCCCCGTCGCCGCCTCGTCGCCGCCGGTGGTCGCCGCCCCGTTGCACCTCCAACCCCCCCGCACGCACAGAGTGCACCACATCTGTTCTCCTTCCCCCAAAAAAATACAGAATCTGCTCCCCGCCTCGGATCGAACAGCCCTCCATCGCGTATTGCAGTTTACACATGAATCTGCCCCATCGTCCACCCCAAATATGAACTCGTACCACTCCAGGCAGGCCAACAACGCCCCGATGTTTAAGATGCCATCGGTTTTCCAATTTCTTTCAAAACATGCTACCAGCCGGCATTTCGCGCGTGCATGTCCTAATCGCAAGAACACCCTTGCCCTCGTGTTGTCGCGTCTGGCAAAACATGGGACGAAGTGCTCGCACGCGTCGTCGCGCGCGTACCCGTGCGTATCGAAGTCGTTTATTAACTTGAAGTCCTGCATGGAGTATCAGACTGTAGGTGTCGTGAAGACTTTTGCATCGGTGTCCCGGCAACATATACACACATGGTTTTGCAATTTCGGGGTTCAAGCGAGCCTGCGCTCGTGGTCTTGCGATTTCCTACGGGCACCACTGGTTGTTTCAGCATGTCCATCACATTCTGCCAAACGGGCCTCGCGTGCCCCATGCCGAAAGCATTCAAATGCCCTTGCGCGCGTGCTGGGGGGTGGGGGGTGGGGGGGACGATCCGTGTCAAATCATACCATGCGGGCCACTCGCGCGTCGGCCGCGCGCGCATGTCGAAGTTTTTCCAAAACCTTCATCACCGACGCGAGGACACCGTCATCGTCGCCGGCGCGATCAGCATCGGCGCCGTCATTGGCCGTGCCGTCGTTGTTGTCATCATCGTCACCAGCACCGTTACTATCCGTCGCCGACGTTGCCATGATACCGCGGCTGCCCAAGTCGCCGACTGGCATTGAAGTGCGGCGCGTGTAATTTTCCTCGGCGACGGGCGCGTTGACCTGCGGCCGCGCGTCGCGTCTGGCCGCGATGCGCGCGTCGCGAATGGGCGCCTCATGTGCCCAGATGTGCGGCCGATTGTGGAGTGCGAAGCCCCTCGTCGTCCGAGGGTGATGAAATTCGGACAACGCCTGGCGGCTTACTGAGCCCACTCGTTGACACGTGAGTGCCGCTCTGCATGCCGCAGGCGCTGGCGGCATGTGGCCAGGTCTTCCTGGCCCAGTGTCGGTGGAGATCCCCTGCTGGCCTCGGGCGCCCAGGCCCAGGGCCGCCGGCGGCGCTCTCGGCCGCGCGAGCCGAATGGCAGGCCGTCGCAGCCAGCTGGCCCTGCGCCAGGGGTCCAGCCGCCGCGGCCGCCTACCCCAGCACCGGGCTGCCTGGACACCTGGACGTTTCCGCGCGCGCGCAGCGCCCCAGTCACTGCGACCAGGGCGATCGCGAACTGACGCCGCCACGCAGATTCGCGCGCGCCACTGCGAGTTGGACACTCATGGGCAGCATCGGCCAGGCGCGGTGCCAGCAGGCCAAGTTCGGCAAGGAGGGCGGCGCGGGCAGCAAGGGCAGCAACGGAATGGAAAGGACAAGGGGGCGGAGGCGCCCGCGGCTGGGCCCGCGATGCCCCCCCCCCCGAAGACCCGTCGCGGTGGTTTCAAGAGCAATTGCAAGCGGGGCCAGGTGCGCGCTGCTTAGCACGGGACGAATCTAGTGCCAGGAAAGGGCGAGGATGATGATAATGATAATGGGGATGCTGCTGATGATGAAGGTGATGATGATGGTGATGATGATGACGCTGATGCTACTGATGATGATGTTGATGATGATGACGAGGAGGAGCAGGAGGAGGAGGAGGAGGAGGAGGAGGAGGAGGTGCCGTCCACTCCGGACGCGGACATTGCGTGGTCCGCAGCAGCCGCCGGCGCGGAGTTTGGAGAAAAGCCCGAGTTTTGCACCGACGAGTATTCGACGGTCAAGAACAGAACGGTGAGGCGCTGCGCATTGCATCCGCATCTGCACGGCCTGCATATAGGTGACTCCCACCTCCTTCCCCGCTCCTTTCTGCCAGTCCAGCCATGCCTCGCTGAGCCTGGTCTCGAGGCTCGGCTTTCGGTCGCCCTTACCGCGGCGCAGGGCCCTCGCACACCGCCGCGGCACACGCTTTGCCGCCTCTCACTCACTGAGGTGGGCTGCCCTGTGCCGTGCTCGACTGCACGGGCGTGCTCGTTGAGTACAGTCCGGGAGCACGCATTCCGCCAACCTGGCGCGCCTGTCAGGTGGCGCTGGGTATCGTAGATGGGCTGGGAAGGTGCACTGGGGTTGGACAGTTATGGGTTTCCCTGGTCCTCGATTCTTGTGCTCCGCCAGAACTGTTCGATCGCCCGCGCAATCCCGACTTGAACAGGATGCTCAGTTCCCATCTGGCTCAAAAACAAAGGGAAGGTCCGCCTGCATCGTGTTGCCACCTTGCTTGTTTTTCGCCCACAGCCCCCACAATTTCAGCTCCTCCTCCTCCTCTTCCTCTTCCACCTCCTCCTGCTCCTCCCTGTCCTCCTCTTTCTCCTCCTCCCCCTCCCCCTCCCCCTCCTCCTCCTCCTTCTCTTCATTCTTCCTTCTCTTCCTCCTCCTCCTCCTTCTCCTTCTCTTCCTCCTCCCCTTAAGCTCCCCGTTTATCCCTCCCCATTTCCCCCTCATGACTTCCTCCTCGCTCCCCCCCGTTCCCCCCGTCCCCCCGTCCTCCAATCCGCCCGCCCGTCCCGCGCGCGTCGGCCCGTGGGCGGCTGACCGGTTGCGCGCGGCGGCTGGGGGGCAGGTTTCGGCCCCACGAGCCCGAAGAGCAGCGCCGCCCAGCGAGAAGAGGCGGCGCGGGAGGCGGTTGCGCGCGCGCGCGTCACGAGCGACGGGCGTTCGGCAAAACGATGACGACGACGGGGGCCGCGACGGCGATGTCGTCCGGCGCCGGCAGACGACGACGACGAAGACGACGACGACGACGAAAGCGACGACGGCGGCGGTGGCGGCGGCAACGAAGACCGACGACGAGCACGACGACGATGAACACGACGACGATGATTACGACGACGACGAAAACGAATACGACGACGACGACGGACTCGACGACAACGATGCCCATCTGAACACGTTCTGCTCGGCGATGCCCAGCAGAACGTGTTGTCCCAAACCGACCGCGGCCCTTGTTGGACAGGCCGCGTTTGTTCCAGATGATCACGGCTTTCGCGCCGACGCTAGCAGCGAACCCTCCGTCAACATCGGCAAGAAGCGCGGTCGGTCTTCGTCCCCACTCCTTCGTTGGCCCACTTTCCGATCGCACCGACAGCATATCGATGCCCTCGCGGTCCGTACGTAGATCGAAGCAAGACCCCATGGACGCGCGATCCTATAGATGTGTTCCCACTTCGTCCCCACTCTTTCGTTGGCTCCCTTTCGATCGCACCGAAGGTATATCGATGCCCTCGCGGTCCGTACGTAGATCGAAGCGAGACCCCACGGACGCGCGATCCTATAGCTGTGTTCCGCGCGCCGCACCCGCGCGAAGCCGCCTGGGTCGCGGCCGAGGAGGTCCGACGACGACGACGACGACGACAACGAGCGAGCGAGCGAGCGAGCGAGCGTGCGTGCTTTCGCGCTGGCGCTGGCCCGTGGGCCCTCCCAGGCCAGGGAGGAGCGCCTCGACCTCCCCGTCCTCTGAGAGCGTCCTCCCCCTCCCCGTCCTCCTCCTCCTCCCCCCTCCACGTCCTCGACCTGCTTGTCCCGCGCACCCTCTCGAGATTTCCCCAGATTCATCAACCAACCTGCTCTCGCTTCCAGCAAACGTCTGGGAAGCTTCCGGGGGCTGTCGGCGATCTTCGGGTATGCTTAGGAGTTGTTCGGAAGCTTCTGGGTAGGAGGAAGAGGAAGTGGAGGGGAAGAGGAGCAGGAGGGGGAGGAGGAATAATTGGGAAAAGAAGCCTGCACATACTCCAAGGTATTTTCGTGCTCGCGAAGGTGAACCGCGTAGAATCACAGGTCATTGCACGCTGGTGAAGGCCGCTGCGCGTACAATCTCGGGTGCAGTCACGCTCGCGGAGGCCCCGCCGCGTAGAGCATTTGACCCGTGAGCCAAATGATGCCCCAGGAAGCTCGAGGAGGTCCCGTGATGCCTCAGGAGGGCGCCAGGATGCCCTGGAAGGGCCGAGGAAGGCGTAGGAGGGCTCAGGAGGAGGGCGCAGGAGGTCCCGGGAAGCTTCAGGGAGCCCTAGGAGGCAGAAAGGGCCCAGAAGGCTCAGGAATGTTTAGGAGGGTCCAGGAACCACGAAGATGTCGCATGATGCCACAGGTGGCCCCTGGAAGCTCCAGGAAGCCGCAATGAGGCACCAGGGCGGCCCTGGAGGTTCTGGGAGGCACCACGTCCGGGAAGGCCCCAGGAACATCCAGGAGCAGGAGTCGCCAGGAGGCCACGGGAGGCCCTGGGATGTCCCAGGATGCCATGGGATGCCCTCGGATGGGCCTGGCTGCCCCAGGAGGTCCCCCACGACTTCCAGGAGGCTCCAGAAAACTAAAGGAGTCCCCAGGAGGCCTCAGGATGCCCCCACTCATGCTCAGCATCAATCTGACTCGCTCACACTCAGACCCACCCATACTCAGTCGTTCATGCTCAGGCGCACCCACAGTCAGACTCACTCATACCCAGACCAAGTCACACTCGGTTTTACTCATACTGAGTCCCTCATTTTCAGGCTCACTCATACACCGTCCACTCACACCCAGTCCCAGCCGTTCGCAATCACTCACTCCTAGATTAACTCTGCGATGTTCAACTCCACTCGCAGTCATGCCCAGTCATAATCAGTCGTTCATTCCCATATGATCAGATAACAGTACGCAGTCACTTGAGCTCACGCATTCACAATCAGTCATGCTCAGAGTCAAGGCTCGCACTCATACGCGCTCAGATGCAGATCATTCGTACCCAGTCACCCATACCCACACATACACACTCATTCTCACTCACATCCAGACCCACGCATATTCATATTTACCCATGCCCAGATTTCATGATGAGCCCCTCATACTCAGACTCGCTCATACCCACACCTATTCACATTCAGACGCACTCACGGGCAGACCTACTAGAACTACCCAGGTATATCATGTTAAGGCTTACCTGTGCTCAGACCCACTCAGCTCGAGCCGACCCAGAATCCCACCCACTCTACCTGGCCGCTCATGCTCATATGCTGTCATATTCAGCTCTCCTCGTAGCCAACCGCTCAAACTTATATACTCTCACCCACCACTTCGGTAGCCTTGCATGTCCTCGAAGTTCCGCTTGCGAAGTGCATTAGAGTGCGCTAGCGTCTGGTAAACGATGAGACAATGCACTTTTAGCGTCGAATAGCGTCGATTAGCGTCGATTCAGCGTCGAGTAGCGCCGACTTCGCAAGAAGATGGTATTAGAGGCTCCCCTGAGCTGCAGCAGAACACTTCCAGGCCCACGCACACTGAGGCCAACTGGAAATACAGCGCTAGCAATGTGCGCATATGCGGGGACGCCCCCGCCGAGCATTTGTTGTACCCTGGCGTCCATGGACCTTGAGACGTGACCTTCCGGGAATTCAAACAGGTACTGATACCGCTACTCTCCGGACCGCTCCTGGGGGGCCTGCTGACCAGAATTTCGAGGCGCAGCCAGCCGTGGCGACGAGGGCCCCCCAGGAGGCCCCCGGGTCCAGCATCGAGACCCCGAGACAATCTTGTTTGACGAGGCCCGTGAGACCCTCTACAAAAGCAGACCCCCCCCCATTTGAGGTCAAGGGTGCCTTCTCCTCCTCTGACTTCTCAGACCTTCGATTCCCTGGCCGCCCTGGTTTTCCGACGGCTGTCGTTCGCTCCCCTGCTGCCCGCGCCGCCCTGGGTGCTCCAGCCCCCTGGAGGAACGGACGATGTCGATGATGGCTGTCCTGACGATGCTGCTGATGCTGCTGATGGTGGTGGTGATGATGATGATGAGGAGGAGGAGGGAGGAATAGCCGTGGCGAACAGATTAAGAAGAGTTGGAGTGATGTGGAGGGAGGAGGAGGGGTGAGAGGCAGAGGGTGATGATGTCGCTGATGTTGATGACAATGAGGAAGGGGAGGATCAGAAGGATGTGGGGTTAGGTACGGACGAGGGTAATCAGGAGGAGCAGGAGGATGTGGAGGCGGATGATGATGATGATGATGATGATGATGATGATGATGATGATGATGATGATGATGATGATGATGATGATGATGATGATGATGATGAGTATGATGATGATGATGATGATGATGATGATGATGATGATGATGATGCTGATGCTGATGATGATGATGATGATGATGCCGATGCTGATGATGATGACGACGATAACGGTGACGAGGATACTGCTGCTGATGCGGCTGCTGCTGCTGGTGATGATGGTCAAGATAACGATGTTACTGCTGCTGAGGACGATGAGGAGGTTATCAGGAAACTGATGCAGATGCTGCTTTTGATGATGGGGATGACGATGACGATGATGATGCTTATGATGGTGATGATGCTGATGATGATGATAATGTTGATCGTGGTGGTGGTGATGATGATGAGGATGCTGATGATGATGTTGATGATGATGCTGATGATGCTGCTGATGGTGATGATGGTGGTTGTTGTGATTATGATGATGC